TTTACTTTTCAGCATGTGTGCCGCGGCTTTCCACAGCGTGGGCAGCCGTGCGGTGTTGCGTTTCAGCAGTCATTCTGTTTGTTCTTTTTGTCTGGCACTATTGTGTGGTTGTGTGTCCCCTCAGATGCTTTGCTTTTTTTTTTTTTTTTGTGGTCGTAGGCACACAGACGAGACACTTACACGATATATGTATTGCAGTGTAGTTGGTTGCTCCTCTTGCGCTCTGTGGTGGCAGTTGCGTGTGGCTGCTGCTCCCCCGTTGTGTTTTTGGGGGAGGAGGCGCGTGATGGCGTCGGTGGAGAAGGAAGGCACCGACCGCTGCTGACGGTGACGGTCTTTGCAGCAGGCGATCTGAGGGGATGGCGTGACTGGTGTAACCACCAACCGAGATGGATGAGGACCGCACCGCATCTCTCTTCCCCCTCATCATCTTCTCAGTCTAAAGCAGCCACAGGCCACACGCACCGCGCGGCAGCGGCGCGACCACCATTCGGACGGCTGCGAGCCAATCGGACTGTGCAATTGATGTGGACCCTTCTTCCCCGTCTCTGCGTACTGCTGCCGTGCTTCTTCATTCTTCATTTCGTCACTGTGTATGCCGTGCGCGTATGATTTCGCTGTTTCTTGTGCAGTGCCGAACCATCGGTCACACTAGCGGCGCCAATGGTCATGTTTGTTTTTGCCTGGGCCCCGCTAATTGGCACGGTGGCTGTGTGGGGCTGTGTGGGCGGTGGGAGGGCGATGGCGTCACTGATTTGATTGCGTCTGCGCGGCTTTGTGTCAGTGGCTGTGGTGGGGACTGTCCGTGGCCGGATGCTTCTGTGTGCCACTGTGTCTAGTTACTGTTGTTGCTGCCTCTGCCTTCTTCTCCTCTGACCGTGCAGTTAGAGCTATTTTGGCTTGACCAGCACAACTATCGTTTCAAGGTATTGGTTATTGCTCGCGGCAGTATTAGGATTAGTAGTAGTGGTATAGCGATCTATCGGATTTGTGCTTTTGGATTCTCCATCTGTAGAAAGGGATTTATTAAAAAGGTGCTACGGCCGACGGTGCGAGTGCGACACACCACGACAGCCCTGTTGATACCTGATTGGTTTGGTGGATGTGGTCTGCGGTGGGCGCGTGTCTGCGCAGCCGGCACCGTGTGCGGCGCAGGGCCATTGCGGCTGTGCGTGCGGCGCTGCTCGTTGTGTTGGCGCTGGTTGCGGCGGCGGCGTGGATGCCCGCGGTGCATGCGGTGGTGTTGCGACTGCGGGGCGGCACGGTGGACAGAGCCATCACGGTTGGCCGCGCCGTGGACACGGTGCTGATGGACGGCGTGTACATCACGAACGGCGTGGCTGTTGTGTTCGACGTTGCGGCGATGCTTCCCGGCGCGCTGCGCATTGAATTGAGGAACTGCGTGTGCGACGGCGGTGCGCAGATCTACGTGCGGGGGCACAGCGGCGAGGCGGCGACTGACCGGAGCCTGGAGGTGAGCGTGAGCGGGCTGTCTGGGAGCTACTGCTCGCTTGTGTTTGCGCACAACCTGCCGGAACACACGAACGTGACGGTCCGCGACTCGACGATTGTGACGCCGGGGCCGATGCGCTACTCGCAGCTGAGCGGGCTGACGGACGCGGTGGCGTCGCCGCTTGTGCTGCACGCGACTTCGCTGTTGCAGACGCAGCTGCGTGTGAGCAGCACTGTGCTGAGGTCGTTGCAGTCGGGCGGGTCGGCGGTGCACGTTGGCGGCGGCGTGGACCTGCTGTCGAGCGCGGTGGTGCTTGACGGCGTGTTGCTGGAGGCGTCGGGCGGTCCGACCGCGTCCGCGATGCGTGTGGCGTCCTCGTCGCGTCTCAGTTTGCGGAGCCACTCGGTGTTCTCCGTGACGAACGTGTCGGTTGTGAGCAGTGGCGGCGGCCTTGTGCTTGGAGAGCGCCTTGCGGTGTCCGATTCGGTGCTGCGCTTCGTGGGCGTCAAGGGGTCTGTTGCGTCGTCGCTGGTGCGCTGCGACGGTGGGGCGGTCAGTGCCGGCGGGTGGCTGGAGCTACACGACGTGTGGGTTGTGGGCAAGGCGTTGTCTTTGGCGTCGCTGTCGGGTGTGACGCTGAGCGGCGGTGCCGTGTCGATTGCGCGCTGCACTGCCACCGGCGCGACGCTTGTCTCCGGGCCGACGATCACGAGCGGCGTCGTGTGGGTGCAGTGCAACCGTGCTGGCGGCCGGGTGCTGCAGAGCAGCGGCGACTACCGCATGGCCGGCATGTTTTCCGTGAGCGTGGTGCCGTGCGACGGCTGTGCGGCAGCGCTGGCGTGCTTTGATGCGCTGACGGCGTCGTTCACCGACTGCGTGTGCAGCTGCCGTGCCGGCGGCGTGGGCGAGGCGTGCCTGCCGTTCGACGTGCCGGTTGCGAGGGCCGGCGGTGGTGGTGGCGGTGCGCCGGGCTGCGTGGGTGGCGTGACGCTGACGGAGTCGGTGACGGTTGGCGGTGGGCGTGCGACGGCGTGCTTCGACTCGGTGGTATTCAGTGGGCCGATCACTGTGGCGGTGGATCTGCGCTCGATGGACGCGTTCGCTGACGCGCTGAACGTGACGCTGCGCCACTGCGTGCTTGCGGGCGGCGCGCAGCTGCGGATTGGTGGCCTCAGCGAGAGCACAGCGCGCCTGATGCCCCACGCCCTCGTCAACATGACGAATGTGACGTCGCTGGAGGGCACGATCGTGCTGCATGGCGCGATGCCGCTGCACTCGAGTGTGCTGTTGGCGAACTCAACGCTGCGTGCGACGGTTGGTGGGTCGCAGTACGTGCCGACGACCCCTGGCCGTGCGGAATCCCGGTACGGCCCCGCGCTTGTCCTGGACGGCGTCCGGCTTCTGTCGACGCGGTTTGTCATGACGCGGTCGACGCTGGTGT